AGAGAAAATAGTGCTTATTACAACTTCATATTTTCCCCTTTCAATAATCGGAGCATCAGCTGTTAAGAACACTTGCCTCCCCTGCCGTCTGCCCACCAGCAGGTTCCCAGTCTTGATTATATGTCTTTTTAAAATGGCATTATTTAATTTAGTGAAGAGGAGCTAGAGACAGTACACAGAGAGCATCAGAGCACTCGGTAAAATAAGCCAGACTGAGAGAAAGGAGTATACACTATAATACTTATGCCCTTGGAGATGAATCACCAGGGGAAAGTAAGGAAGCCAGACACAAAAGAGCAAAAGGCCAACCTGAACTGGACCTGGTGCAACACAGAAGAGGCAAAACCATCGCATTGCAATTCCCAATCTAGAACTAACCAATGTCCAGATACTGCCCCCAGCAAGGAAATATCCTGTGTCATGGGTTATGGTTGAATACCTCAGTGCATGGAGGGTATAAATTATAAACAAGGAGTCATTTTCCGTCTCATTACTTTAATCAGTTTGTCAAAAAATCGGAACACTTGTACATAAATACTTGATTTGTTAAAAGAATGTACAGCATAAAAGCCCCTGAGACACATCCAAGAAAGACTTGAAATGTATACAGTGCAATTATTTACCTAATTACTAAGGATTTGGCTGCTTGCCCTGATATCTGAGGCATGTGATGCTTTAAGAAAATATATATATATGTATACTGTATATGTGTATATATATATTTTTAAAGCTAAATCAGATTCTTTCTCTGGTGCCTGGTTTTCTGCTAGTTTACTGCTCTTGTATATTAAGTCAGTTCCAGACAGTAAGGAAGGCACATTGGGAAGCGAATTAGCTCTTTAAGCCCTAGGGTGCCAGTTAGTAGAACGACAGCAAGTGGAACAAGAAGGTCCCAAGAGATGATTTTGTCCAACCCCTTCATTTTGCAGTACAAGTGACAGAGACGCAAAGGTGTTGTGGTTTGCACAAGCATGGCTGGTTTTGCCACTACTTCTGTAACCTCAGGCCAGTCCTTCAATGGATCTGGACCTTGGCTCCTTCCTGTGTAAAATGGACTGGTAGAAATCACAGCTAACATTCTCAAGGTGCTTCCTATGTGCCAGGCAATATCCTGAGTACTTTCAGTGTCTTGTCTAATCCTCTCAACACGTCCATAAATTATATATGATTACCTTTAATTAGAGATGAGACTATTAAAATACAAAAAGCTAAAATAATTTTCCCGAGATCAAACAATTAGGAAATGTTGCAAAGCTGGTCTAGGAACCCAGGAATATCTGCTTCTAGAATTCTTAAATTCCAATTCTTTAATCCCTTCTAAGAAAGCCCCACCAGGTAAATTCCCAAATTCTTTACATCTCTAAAAGTCTAGAGCAGAGTTGGCAAACTATGGCCCATGGGCCAAATCCAGCCACCCCATTTTTTTATGTGTGGTCTGTGTGTGCTTTTGCTCTCCAACAGCGGAGCTGAGTTGGGGGCAACCGACTGTATGGCCTGAAAAACCTGAAATATTTACTCTCGCTGATCCTACACAGAAAAAGTTTGCCAACTCTTGGTCTAGAGCCCCGAAAATTTAGAGCATCCTGTAATTGTATAGCAATTTATAATGTACAAAGCACCCTGGCATACATCATCACATTTAATCCTAGTTTTGCAGGGGCATTCACACATTATAGAGGAGGAAGCTAAAACTCAGAGAGTTTAAGTAACTTGCCTAATCACGGCCACGGAGGCAGAAAGTGGAAGAGCCACATGCCTGAGTTCTGACTTCAAAATGCATGCTCTTTCCATGAAGCTACCCTGTTTCGCCTAAATACTACCAGGGAAGAATTTGGAAAGTGGAAAGAACCTGTGAATACTGGAAGCAAGTCAGACTGTCTTCTGATGCAAGTATCATTCCAGGTACACGCATGTAATTAGAATCATCAAGTGCTAAAAATTAAATTAAATTTGTAATAAATTTGAAAGAAAAGCTTATGCCTTAAAAGACAGCATGACAGTCACAGGAAATACATTTTGAAATATACACGATGCATTCATATGCATTTTTGTATTATGTTAAATTTGAACCTACTCAATTTAGAATACGAGAAATAACATAAATGAGTAATTGCCACGTATCTTTTGCTCTTTGATGAGATTAACCTAAAAATTTTTTGCCATAGTAAAAACTTGCACATGAATAAAAACACAATTATACTTTCTTAAGCTAAATATTTAATAAATATATGGTTAGTTTTAAATGGATTTAGTAATAGATACTAATTTAACGATATAGCTTTACCAAAACAAAAAAAATTCTTTTCAAAGAAAGTATAGTTGCTTCTTCCTACTCTGCTAATTCAAGCTTAATCTAAATGGTAACGATGATTCTTGAAATATGGCTTAGCTTTGAAATACACAATATGAGGCACCTTCCTTTTTATTTCAGATTTATTGTATAATATTCCCTGAGATTTAGTTTTAGACCTATAAATGGCTATGAGGACATTCTGAAATCACTGCAAAGAAGGAAAAAATATATATGTACATCTCATCAATCAGGTGCCTACTAGGTGTTAGTCACCCTCACTTATTTCCTGAAATGCTCACAATGAACTGTGAAGTATTTTCCTCCCTCATTTTACAGATGAGGAAGCAGAGGCTCAGGGTTATTACTAATTTGCCCAGAATGAAGCTGGAATTCAAATCTAAACTAGATTACCTTCACGACCTAAACTCTCTCCCACTGCCCCCTGCAGATTCCCAATAAGACCAAGATCACTGGCCAATATCTCATCAAAAATCATTCTAAGGACAGAACTTTTATCTTAACTGGATGGCTGGGACTTTATAATTCTAATTCTGCCTACACTATAACACTCTAATGAGGAAATTTTATCCACAGCTTTATTTATAATTTCTCCTTTTAAGAAAGAGAGAAAATTGAAGCACCTAGATTTGAGTTTTTCAAGTGTGTCTGCAACAATGCATAGAGTTAAAACTTGCTTTATGACATAGCTAATTGTACTGATCAAATGCAAAATTACTGTTTACAGCAGAACCCTGCATAAAACTAATTTCGGACCCTACCCACAATAACTAGTCACTGTGGATCCCTATAATAAATCGAGGAGAAAACTCCTATTATTTCAGGCTTTAAATCAACTGGCTTATCATTGATTTGTGGCATCACTAAGAATTGTCACTTTAGGCCGGGCGCAGTGGCTCACGCCTGTAATCCTAGCACTCTGGGAGGCCGAGGCGGGTAGATCGCTCGAGGTCAGAAGTTTGAGACCAGCCTGAGCAAGAGCGAGACCCTGTCTCTACTAAAAATAGAAAGAAATTAATCAGACAGCTAAAAATATATAGAAAAAATTAGCCGGGCATGGTGGCACATGCCTGTAGTCCCAGCTACTTGGGAGGCTGAGGCAGTAGGATTGTTTGAGTCCAGGAGTTTGAGGTTGCTGTGAGCTAGGCTGACACCATGGCACTCTAGCCCGGGCAACAGAGTGAGACTCTGTCTCAAAAAAAAAAAAAAAAAAGAATTGTCACGTTAGTCAAATTGCCAATTGTTTTATTGGTTACTATTTATTTTTTGGCAGTAGTAGATTCTAAGAGCCCTAAAGAGAAGGACCTTGCCTTATACATTTTTCTGTCTCCCCCAGGGCCCCAAGCCACATGTTTGGCACACAGGAGGCACACAGTGACACCTGTTGAATATGTCGCTCATTCAACAACTTGTCAAGTCAATGCACATATCTTCAAGATCAGCCCCACAGCAGTCTCCGCGGCTAGAATGTGAGGATATGCTGCACTACTATGTGGGAGGGGAGCCTGCTGGCACCAGAGAGAAGTGCAGATTTAGCTTTTAACAAGGGATGAGTAAGTTAATTGTAGGCACTAATTTAGTTTTATTCCCTAAGATCTAAACATTTAACTAAAAAGTGACAGAGAGAAACAAATATTGCCACTAACAGACACCATGAAATTTTCTTCCTTTTACATGATTCCACAATGCAGTATGACCTATTTCACTGTTCTGCAGACAGGTAATGCCAGCAACCCTGAAGCAGACTGACATTCCAGTCTAAATTTTGGGTCCATGTAATAGATAATTTTGGAAGTGACATTGTGCCTTCTTTCTTCTGTTTGTAAACACAGGTTGGTCTTCTGGCAAGAGGGGAGAAGGTCGCTTCTGCTTTATTTTCATATCTGTAAGTTTAATGTGCTTTAAAAAAAAATCCAGGTTACAGAAAAACATAAACACAGAAGAAATAAATTAGGAGATGAGTATTCACATTGTAAAGGGAGTCTCCATAGGGTTCCATTAAATACTGAACTTCCTAGGTCACGGAATTTGGGATTCGATTTAAATGCAGTTTTGCAGGGACACATTTATGTGTAAGTGAGGTATACCCATATATTCATCTTAACTCCAAGGACAATCCGGCATCTTGTTTCCATTCATAGGGCAGGGGAACAAATTGTACTTGTTAAGGAAGTCAATGGCTTTTTGGACCTCTCTCCTCACCTTTCTCAGGAGCCAAGGCTTTGAGAAATCCAAACAACAGAAAAAGACCCATTTGAGGGCACAGTCCTACAACTACTGGCAGGCAATAAGGCTCTTTCTAAAACCAGAGTTTGCTTCACCTTGGTCCAGGGAAATGTGAGTCGAGGAGCAGTGTGTTTGAGATTTGGAGGCTGCACAGGCCACAAATACGACCTGTGGCAGACAAGGAAATTCAAAGAAACCGGCTACCACAATGGCTTCTTGTAGCTAAGCTATTTCTTCATCTCCGCATTGGGTACAGGTGTGCAAGGGCCCCGTTCTTCACCCCTGAACACTGATGGCCATCAACGGCAGAGGGAACCCAACTGCTTGTCATGCAAAACTGAATAATATTAATTGGTAAGTCACCTTTTTCCTATAGAGCAAAAATGGGTGTTCGGAGAACTTAGTCCCATTATTCGGCAGTCAAGGAGATGCACAGTAAAAAAAAAAAAAAAGCCCACATCTTGGCCTCCCTGGGTCACTGCTGGAGAAGGGCAGCTTCACCGTTCAAACCAGCTGGCCAGGTTGCGTATGCTCTTGGGCCGGTCCCCAGCCATCTGCACAGCCTGGCAGGCCCGGCACCAAGGCTCGTCCCAGAAAGAGGTGATGTGCACGGCGTAGTTCCGGCGCCAGCTGAAGTAGCGGCGATAGACCGCCGGGTTGCGGTCAAGGAAGAGCAGATAGGCGGCCAGGGAAGCGGCACTAGGGAAGTCGTCCACGTGGATGAAGGCGCTGCGGGGCACGAAGCGCTCGTAGTTGGCACGGTCTGGGCCCAGCACCACCGGCACCACCCCGGCGAGAAACGAGTTGCGCCAGAGTTTTTCCGTGATATAATCCAGGTGCTGTGAGTTCTCAAAAGCCAGGTAGAATTTGTAGCGGGCCACTGTGTGCAGGAGCCCGCTGTCAGGCACCGGCTGCCCTGGCCCGCCCTGGCCGAACACGTCCACGGATATGTGCTGGCTCAGCTGGTGGTAGTAGCGGACCCGGGCCTGGCGCTCGTCCCAGTGGCTCACCACCCAGGCCACCAGCCCGCGTTTCCGGGCCAGCGGTGGGACCAGGCCTAACGGCTGGTCGCTGGGGTGGCTCCTGGGGTAGAGGTATCCGTAAGGCACGAAGACATCTGAGTCGGCCCGGTAGGAGAGAGTCCAGTTGAAGAGATCACCTGCCAGGTTGTGCAGTCCCGGGGAGTGGGAGGGAGACTCAAAGTTCATCCACACCCAACGTTGGCCCGGGGGTCTGGGGCCCGAGGTCGCCAGGGCTTTCGCCGCCGCCGCCGCCGCTTCCTCCTGGTCGTCTAAAACGCGCAGCTCCAGCTCCTCCGCGATTCGCACCTGGGCACCCCAGGGCGGGGGCCAGTCGGGTGGTCCCTTCACGAGGTCACGGTGGTGGAACAGCACAGCCTGAGCCTCTCCATAGGCCGCGCGGTCGGTGAGCAGGCGGCAGCCGCTGATGTTGAAGCGCAGCCGACAGTCGGGGGGCGGCCTCGCGGCACCGCCGCGCCCCCCGAAGGGCTCCCACCACAGCAGCACGCCCACCGGCCGCGAGGGGGCGGGGGATCCCCAGGGCAGCGGCGGCAGCTGCTCCCAGCAGGCGTAGGCGGCCAGCGCGGTACACAGCAGGCCGGCAGCGGCCAGCGCTGAGGCGGTCCACAGCAGCCCCCCGCCTCTGCGCCGCCCGCGCCGCCGCCAGGCCGCCACCAAGCCCCACGGCGCCCCCATGGCGCGCGCAGGCAGAGCCACCGCCGCCGCTCGCCGCGCGTCCGCAGGCGTGGAGGAACGGCACCGGCTTTCATGCTGCTGCTGCGGCTCCACCCGTCGCTGCCACTCGCCGCAGGCCCGGGAGCGGGAGGGGGCGGTCTCGGAATCCAAAGGCCGCGGGCCGGCTCCCCTCCTCCTGAGTCCCGGGCGCGGCGCGCCGCCAGAGCGAGGTGAGCCAGCCAGGCAGCCCGGCCGAGCGCCGCCCACCGCTCCCTTCCACGATGCCCCGGGCCAGCTCGGCCCGGCCCCGGGCGTTTCTTGCTGCGTCCCCGCCCGCTCCCCACCCCCGCCGGTGCTCCCGGGCTCCCCGGCCGCGCCCCACAGGCGCCTCATCCGCTACTCGGGATCCCGTCTCAGGGGGTCCGGGGCATCTCCGCGCGCGCCCGGCGCCCGGCTCTAGCTCACGGTGGCCCGATCCTTCTCCTTACAGAATGAAGGCCCAGTTCATCCCTGGGCGCGCGCCGGGGACCCGGGACCCTCCAAAAGCCGCTGCCGCGCGACAGCAGGCGCGGACGGAGGGCGGACCAGAGGCCTGGCAGGACCGAGGATCCGAGTCCGCTTCCGGCCGCACCGCCCTGCTGCCCGCCAGCGACGCCCGCCGGAGGGAGGGAGTCCGAGAGGCAGCGGGAGCGTGCGGGCAGGGGCGCGGCCACCACGTCGCTGGCCAGGAGGACCTCGTGGCCCGCTGAGACCCGCCAGTTGTGGGATCACCCCACCGCGGCGTGGCCGACGGAGGTTGTGCATTGTGTGAAACTAAGTTTTCAGTGTGAGTAGTCATAAGAACATTCCCTTTGCCTACCGCCCCAGCAGAGGATAGAGAAGAACAAAATGTTTTCTGAGCAGTGGTAACACGTTCTTTCCTTTGCTCCCTGCGGAATATTTCTAACTGCTGCCTGGTAGCATTCCTAAGGCGTCTACGACTCATAAACCGAAGATAAAGATGTGGTGCCCGAGGCCCTTGTCTTCATGGAATTTACTGCCTATTTAGTGAGATGAATGAACATCACTATTAATTTTACTAAGCACTTAAGAAACAATTTCTGCACTCATGAATGTTCTGCACTCATGAATGCTATGCAAAATACTCTGGGCTAGAGAATGATGACTAAGATAAATATTATAGCACCCAAGATTAGGGTATATAGACTGAGTATCACACTGGCCTCTTCAGGTTTATCAATGAGGCAGCACTTGGAGCATCCATATCTGCAGTCACTTGAGAAATTTTTTACCTACAGCTTGATTTTGAAAATTTGGGTTTGCTGTTCATTTACGATATTCAACTTTTTTTTTCAGCAGAGTTATAAATAGGCTGAGGAGTGGGGGCCTAAGGAGAGGAGGCAGTTTTGAGAGAATTTTTAGTAGATCACAGCTGTGCATGGGTGAGGTCCCAGGCTAGTGTGATATAAGTTACGGGATATTAGGGGAGATATAAACATTGCTGGGAAGGGGGCCAACCTGCCAGGTGTTTTATATGTTATACTAAAGGAAATAAACTTGGGTGTGCCATTTGGATTTACTGTTAAGAATGTTTTTATTAAAAATCAAGTACAAGGTGTCAAAGCTTCTATAAAAGTGGTTTCAGGTAGCACTGGCTGCTGGCCCTCGACCTCAGCCTGAGAGCTGATGGAGAGCTTTAGGTGCTCTGGTTAGGCTCATCAACCTGGTGACAGCTCCTCCTACACATTATAAAAGGCTTTAGGCTTTTTATAATGTTTCTGGGCTTTTTTTTTAATTTGAAAAATAGAAATTAGAAATAGAAATTTAAATGTTTTATGTTAAAAATTTGCAATGAGAAATGTCAGTGATTTTCCACTGTGATTTTTAATTAAAAGAAAAAGCTATAAATGCACAAATAACTTGTTTCAACCAAATAAAGGGAAAAAATGTATTGGCTTTTCTTTTTATGCACTTGAAAAATCTGTACATTTATGCACATTCCTCTTCCACTTCAGTTACATGAGGCATCATAGTGAGAACTAGAAATAAAATCATAAGCCCCCCAACCGAATGGACCCTTTTTTGGCTAAGGGGACCCCAGAAAAACCTTAAAAACTGGGTTTCTGGCCTTGATGGTGCAGGAGGTCAGAGACATTATACCCCTTCCCGTTGTGGTTTAGACACAACCACTGACCAGCATTAGTGTTAAAATGGAGATCATAAGACTGATGGAATGGACTCTTGTGACAATAAGATACCAAATTATAAACAAGACCTAAGGCCATGCCAGGCAAGGATTAAGTCATGCACCCCAACACTTAAAGATTAAACTGTGTTCTAACTGCCACAGGGCTTTTTTTCTCTAACAGCTAAACACTCACTGGCCTTGAAATGAGCAATATTAATACAATTGCAGCTCACTGATCACCAGAGGCTGACTGACCAACCTACATGTTCCATAAGCCGTAACTACAGCTTTGGACAAGAGACTGATTTCAGTAACTTTCTCTTGATAAGGCCACCAACTGGTTCTGGCTGGTTTACAGAGGCTGCACACTTAAGTGCCTTCATGTCCCTGCATCACCTTTTGACATATAGGGCCTAACTGTGGTACATTTAAATGTTAAGTCTCCACCTCAAAGTGAACATGGGCTGTATATGACATGCGTGTTTATTCAATACACATACCTTAGGAACCTTTTATGAGTATTCATAGCTCCTCCTGTAACCTGTTGAATAGGTATACTTGGCCGACTCCTTCAGCATTAATTCCTGTTCCACCTTCCTCTTCCTCAAAATGCCTGCCTTTCAGTCTCTGCCAGAGGCTGTGCTTCCCAGCCTGTCAGGATGGCCACCTTGCAGGCTATAACCCTTTGTAGTCTTCTTTCCAAATTTGTAAAGTGTGTGATTTTTAAGTTGGTGGTGGATAGAGCCTAACATTGTGTCTAGCACATGGTAGGTAGGCCTTTGGTGTTCGCTGGCCTGTTTACTTCCTTTCCCCGCTTCCAATTTTCCTGTAAGCCTCTACATGTTCCAATTAAACCAACTTTTTGCATGAAGAATGGCTCAGCTCTTGTGAATGTAAATTTTCGTTTTGTCCACTTACCTTGATAGGATTCAGGACCACAAGCTGCTTCTACATTAGTCTTATCTTGGAGTAGGGGGAGAGGACACTAGGCAGGAGGGTGTGGCTGGATCAGTGGAAACCAGTCATGGCTTCTCCACAAACTACTGATAGAAGGTCATATGTACTGATTTATTCACAGGATAATGGATTGTTCTTATTTAAAAAGAGGCAAGGTGGGGAGAAGGGAGAGGGAGGAAAGAAGTTATGGGAAAAATAATAAAGCCAGGTGTTCTCATTTATTCATTTAACAAATTGGGAAACATGAAAAACACCATTTCTACCTTCAGAAATCTATGAGAGAAACAGATAGTGGGGTGGGGGGTGGGGGTCATGGAAGTCTTTGAGAAGGTGGCTCCTGGAGCAATTAGGAATCATTCACATGGAGAGGAAAAGCGCTGAGATGCTAGTCCAAACGGAAGGAGCAGCACTGGAAAGGCCAGGCAGGGAGGACAGGGATAGTAGGTTAAGAATTACTAGGGTTTAGTTCGGCGAAGGAGATGGGGTTTTATCCTGAAGGCTGTAGAGAGTACTTGGGAGGTTTTAGCAAAGCAAGGGATCAATATAATGAGATTCGTATTTTTAAAATGAATTATTTTTATCGTAGATAGGGTGAGGATATGGACAGAGGCATGAGGAGGACTTCTGGTGTGCTGGCCATGTTTATTGTAGGCGCTGATTAATGGGCATGGTTGGTTGAGAAAATTCATCAAGCTATATGTTTACATATGTACTTTTATGTGTGTGTTATTTATAAGGCCAACCCTTTCCTCTAGGAAACCTTTCTGGATACCCACAAACATATATCCAGGGTAGTTTATCCTGTATATGCGTCTTTCAGAACATCATGGGGCATCTAGGGATCTTGATTGTTTTTATTCACAACTCCATCCTGAGCACCTAGCACAGAACCAGGCATTTAGCATAGTGTTCATCCTCTCAGTGAATACTCATTGAATGAATGAATGCTCTTAATGTATTACCGAAATTATCTGCCTGTATCTCTGTTCTACATTAGAAAGTGGGAAGGTATCAAGAGATCTTGGCTATGTTAATGGCTTCCTGTGACCTTGAGATGCCTTTTAAGCTTTCAGTGGCAATTGTTGTGTTAATCAGAACACTGGTGCCAAATGTCAGAAATGCCATCAAATTACACTGCTCCCATTGGCCCAGCCTGGACCAAGTGCTCATTTTTGAAGCAATCACTGTAGTCAGGAGATGTGGACTCTCTAGACCCTCCTCTGAAGCTAGAATCAGGCCCATCTAAACCTTCTGGAATAATAACGGGGTGGGAGGGTAGTTTCCCAAAGAAAAAAATGAGGTATTGTTACCCAAAGAGGAGGGAAGGGATGCTGGGCAGGGAAAATCGTATCTACTACCCACATGTAAGGAATTGTTACTGTACTTAAAATGAAAAGCCTGGACTAAATGAACTCCAGATCACCTTAGAACTTTAAACATTCTATGAATCTTTTTAATTTGGTGATAAAAAGTGATTGATTCTTTATGCATTTAAAGGCCTCCCAGTTTCCACAAAATATTGTACAGGAAGAATGGGCTTTCAGTTGCAAGCATGAAAACAACAAGGTCAAGTATAGAGAGAGGTCTTTGGACCCTTGAGGGTTGCTAAAGTAGGGTAGAAGAAAGCTCCATAATTCAAGGCTCAATTTATCAAGCTGAAAGAGCAATCAATTCACAATGTGCCAGGAGTGACCTGTTTGGTTCCAAAATTTTATATGGGACAGCAAAAACCAGGCCAACTGTGGTTCCTAACATTCTAACTCATTCTTTATTCTTTCCCGAGGAAATAGTTCATTTGATAGTAAGACCACTCCAGTTCATTTTCAGCCTCCCCTAGTGCTCCTCACCAGAGAGAGCTTTGATATTTCCTATGGAAGTCCTGGAGTACATTCTGACTGTCTAGGTTTCCGGGCAGAACCAACTTCTGTCAGCGTGAGGTCCATGAGAGAACCAGGCTGTCCTCAAATGAGTTGTTTGGAACTGAGATTTTTGTGACTGAACATTGATCTGCCAAATATGCTTTAAATTTTTTTCCTCGAAGAGATAAAAAGGCAGTTCAAAGTCCCTCTGAATATCATGTGTACTTACTGTGCAATGGAAAGGGGTCAGCAAGCAGGTGTGGCTGGAATGGCTAATCCATGTGCAAATAGGTGGAGATTGTTTCCTTCGTCAGGTACAAATTTTTAAGCATCTGTAATTGGACAGAGTATGGAAAGGACTGTTGGTTAAAAATCAAGAATTGTGTAAG